CCCCAGCCAGCGGCCGCGCGGCAGCCAGCGCCTCGGCCAGGATGTGTGCGAGACTCGGCTTTGAAGCGGATCCAGAGCGGTGCGAAGGATGTTGATCTCTGGAGCGGTTGCAAGAGTTCAAGCTCTCTTATCGAGCAGGGGAGGGATGGGAGTACCTGCTCCGGCGGAGCTGGCCCCTTGCTAAACAGAGCTTTGCAGGCTCTGCTGGACTCTCCCGTCTAACGTAAGACCCATGTAGAGGTGGTGTGGCAACACCAAGTCTGCAGGCTGGACGCCTGCCACCTCGCTGGGACGCCTCGAAGAGCAGGGGAGGGAAGGGACGTACACAGATTTGCCAGGACCATCTGGCTATCTCCCCTGTAATTCCTGATCCACAGCCGGGATGTGCTCCAAGAGGCAGAGACAACACTGAACAGCTGCCCGGGTCCATACCCCAGGGCTTTGGGGGACTTGATTTCTCCTCTTGAGATGACTCTCTTCACAAACCTGCTAGTTTTCAGATGGGAGACGCATTTCCACCACGAATAGAGAAGACCTGCCTATGGTTCCCTAGGGTCCATGTGCAGCCCAGACCCACGCTGGCACCCTGGATGTGTGCCCAGCTACATAGGCTTTGGAGATCACACAGCTGGAGCCCAAGACCTGCTGAGAAGTTTGCAGGGGCACAGGGAGGCATAATTAGTTTCATTTACATGGAAGATCCAGAGCACTAGAGAGGAGTGAGAGGAGAGAATCAAGTGCTTCATATCATTAGTGCTTTGCAGAGAATAAAGCCATAAAAAATCCACCTAGATATCAGATGTTTGCACTTAGCAATGGTGCCAACAGGTCGCAGAATGGCATGGTTAATCTCCAACCCCTAAACCCTGCCTTGTATCTAACACACACAAATCTGCCTCATCTCCTCATCCTCCTGAAGTCAGGAGGAAACCAGAGCTGCAGCACCGGGACACCGGCGATGCAGAGCTCCGGGTTCAAGTGCCGGTCATGCCACCCAGTTCACCAGGAAGCTGAGCTGTGCAAGACCAGATCTGCACAGGATTACGGTGCAGGAGGAGATCAAACCTGATCACCTGCTGCTGCGGGGCAGAGCTGGAGGGGACCTGTGCTGCCCGGGCAGCAAACAGAGCACAGCAGGATGAGATCAGCTGGAGATGGGACTTCACAGGTGGTTAACACCACGACTCAGGGGGAACTCCCTCTCTTTCAAGGTGAGCAGTCACCTTCCTTGCTTATATGCAAAACATTCTGGAGATGTGATGCACACACAGTGGTATTTATTGTTTTTTTAAAAAAAAAAAGATTGGCCAAGTGCCAGCAACCAACTCTTCTTGCAAGCACATTGTTCTATCCGGAGGGACAGGACAGCTTGAAAAATAAATACCTGGGCCAGAACACTGCAGAGCAGGCTGCTAAGGTGCTGGCTGCCAGAGGGTGAACTAGTGCAGCAATTTTCCAGCAAAGATCACGGCCCAGGTCCAGTGCAGAGCTGCCTCATCACTGTAGTCTCATCCACCTCCCATCTCCACATATAAGCAGGTAATTTTGGCAGCTGCGCCCATCCCCATGCAGGATCCAGCACTGGGGCACATCGCACCCTCCCAGTCCCAACTCCCTGCCCCTCTGATCACACCGCGGGTGACAGTGTCTCATCTTCACCCGCAATGGAACCGCAGGCTGGCTACGAGGGGCAGGGACACGACTCTGAACTGGAACAGACTCTGACGCTCAGATTAAAAACACATTTAGATGATGGTCTCATCAGGACTTCTCGTCTCTCCTTAACCTTGATCCCCAGGTGCTCAAGCTAATAACGCTTCAGATACTCTACGGTGGGAAACTCTGAATTGCTCATTAGGCAGCCAAACCACATCAGAGCTATTCCGGGGAGAAAGCACTGGGAATCTTTACAGGAACCTTTGGACTCCGAGTCACAGTATTAGCATTGATTTTAAATGAAATAATGGTCCCTGCTGAGCATTAAAAGCATTCTTTATAGAAAGCCAGCAAGGTAGAAAAGAGCCATTGTACCCGGAGCCCTGGCATGCCTCCAGGCCCCTTCGCTCTCCAGTGAATGGCAGAGACGCTAATAAAGGCAATCTTCACCTCCTCAGCGCTCGACACCGGCCCCGTGTTTGCTGTAGGCTCAATGAGACATGATGTACTGTCTAACGAACACGGGAAATTAGCCATGCCTCTCTGGTCCTGCTTCAAGATGCTATTAAAGAGCTTTCAAGGGCTGAAACAAGCTTCCACCTAAGAGGAGGAACGCTGCCAGCTGCGTACAGCTGCACACACCAGGCATTTCTGCGCAGATGAACATGCACCGACACGCGCACATCCCCTACCTTCCTTGTCACCAACAGCGGGGCTCCGGCTCTTTCCCCTGGGACTGCTGCTCGGCTGCTGCTGCTCCTTCTCAGCCTGCTGCTGCTGGGACTGCGATAGCTTGCTCGGGGCCATGTCCTCGCGGGCAGACTCGTGGGCTTTCGTGATCTGCTGCTGGTAGAGGGCCAAGGCATGGGGAGGCACCTGAGGCTTCCCGCTTCCACTCTGCAATATCCCCTCTGAGAAACCTTCGGAAATCTGCAAAGCAGTAAGAGTTGATGACACTTGCCATATGCTGTTGACATCTATAAGAGTCTTGGAGACATCTAGGTGTTACAAGAAGCACCTGCCCCACACTATCACTGCAAGTCTCACCATCCCAAACAGGGCTCCAAAGCTCACCAGCCATAGGAGACTAAAAAAGTCCACAACAAAGAGTATCAGCTCTGTGCTGGTGACACTACAGGAGAATCTCACACTTCCCTTGTCTAAAACCTCTAATCCATAGTTAAGTGCTTGTAGCTTTTGTCAGAAGTTACATTACAGCAGCCACATCTTAAGCTCTAACATGGGAAACTGGAAGAGCATCAGGAACGGGTCCTCCCCGAGTACTCAAAACCCGAAAGCAGGGATTTCCTCCCTGTTCACCCTGTGCTTCTGCTCCGCTAGTGTTGACCCTGGGAGATACCAGGGTGCTTTTTGTCCCAGCCCAAGCCACTGCACCAGGAGGAACCATCAGCCTTGGAGAATGCATGTTGTTCCAGTGCACAGCTACTGAGTAGCCAAAAAGGGGGACCAAGCAGAGCTTCTGGATGAGGAAGAGAATAAATGCTTCTTACGTGGTATCCCTCAAGCACATGAGACGAAGAGAAGCACAGGGCTGGGAAAGTGCACGCTCGCTTTTTAAAGCAATGAGAGGCAGCAGTCATGTGGCAACAAGAAGCTTTTTCTGTCCAGACCTCCCACTACTTTCTGATAGAAAAGCTCAAGGGACATCCAAACACTGCTGGCAGTCGCTCCTGCAGCTGGGAACACGCTGCGCACAGAGAACACCTGCCCGCTGCGGGGCTGGCACCACCCAAGCACAGCTCTGCAGACCACGAGCTTGGCCATCCGCAGGGACAGGCACACCCTTGCAACCCCGACGCACACCAGGCAGGGGACGCAGCCCGATGGAAGCGCGTGCACGAGGCAGACGCAACCGCCGTGCTCCCAGTCCCGTCTCGCTCTGGTGGGGTACTCACGATGGGAGGGATGGCAGCAGCACGCTGCTTCAGCTGCTTCAGGTCCAGCGGCTTCTGCGGCGAGGAGTTCAGCCTGGCGTCGCTGCCGGCGTTAAGTAGGCTGGGCCGGGGCGACAGCAACCTGGGCACAAAACACCCACGTCAACCGGGCAGTGCCATGGACAAGCTCCGCGTCCCATCGCTCCCCCACACTCTGTACCCCTCTGTTTTATGCTGCTCAGCCTAGATGACATCCTCTTCATCAGAGAGGAGCATGTTGGACTACTGCTTGTTGCTGGGACTCAGAGGCTCTCAGACACATCATGCACTTGGGCTTCCAGCCCTGCAAGCTGCTGCGCTGGCCCCAAACCTGTTTAGATGGCAACTACCACTCCAAAGGT